AACAACCAGCAAAAAGCTGACCTGGAAGCTTGGCTTCATCTGAACAAACACGCTGAGCAAGGGAGCTAATAGGTTCAAGGCCCTGAGTTCACACCTAGTACTGCTTCCCATCAAATGTATAGACAAGGATCATATGTACGTTTGTTAGAGAAAAAGAACACTAAGCCAGGTCCCAGTGGCTCACACCTGTAATCCTAGCTACTCAGGAGGCAGGAAAGTCTGTGAGACTTTTTTTTTTAATCATGGGGCTTGAACTCTGGGCTTGGGCCCTGCCCCTGCACTGTTCTTCAGCTCAAAATGAGCGCTCTGCCACTTGAGCCGCAGCGCCACTTCGGTTTTCTAGAGGTTTATTGGAGATAAAGGTCTCCCGGACTTCTCTGCCCAGGCTGGCTTTGAACTATGATCCTCAGATCTCAGCCTCCTGAGTAGCTAGGATTCCAGGCATGAGCCACCAGTGCCCGTCTCATGAGACTCTTATCTCCAAGTAACCATGAGAAAACCAGTAGTGGTGTTGTGGCTGAAGTGGTAGAGCGCTCGCCTTGAGCTGAAGATCTCACGGACAGCTCCCAGGCTCAGAGTTCAGGCCCCACAACCGACAATAAAAAAAAAAAGAAAGAAAGAAAAAAAGGAAAGAAAAAGAACATTATTCTATAAGATCCAAACATACATACCACTCATCATTGTGTCATTCAAAGATATATGGATCTGTGTATTTTCCTGCACATACTGTTACATAGTGGCAAGCATTTTCTTTCTTTTCTTTTGTTGGTTGTGGGGCTGAACTCTGGGCCTGGGTGCTGTCCCTCGGCTCTTCAGCTCACAGCAGCTAGCACTCTACCACTTGAGCCACAGTACCACTTCTGGCTTTTTCTGCTTATGTGGTGTTGAAGACTTGAGCTCAGGGCCTCATGCGTGCAAGGCAAGCACTCTACCACCGAGCCACCTTTCCAGCCCATGGCGAGCATTTTCTTTTCTTTTCTTTTGGGGGTGGGGGGGGGGAGTTCTGTCGTAGGGCCTGAACTCTGGGCCTGGGCGCTGTCCCTCAGCTCTTCAGCTCAAGGCTAGCGCTCTACCACTTGAGCCACAGCACCACTTCCAGCTTTTTTCTTTTTGCTTATGTGGTGCTGAGGAATCGAACCTAGGGCCTCAGGCATGCAAGGCAAGCGCTCTACCACTGAGCCACCTTCCCAGCCCGAGCATTTTCATATAGAAGTTTATATCCTACTTTTTGTTACAACATGGTGTGTTTATAGTGAACCCAGCAATCCATTTTTGCCGGACATTGAGCCTATTTTTCAATCTTTTGTTACATAATGTGTAGTGTATCTTATATACACAGATGCCTATGTGCCTGTTTGTGGTGATACTGGGCCTTGATCTCTCCCTTATGTTTTTCCTTACAATCTGGCACTCTACTACTTGAGCCATGTCTCTAGTTCCTGCTTTGGCTGGTTAATTGGGGATAAGGGTCTCTCTGATTTGTCTACCCTGACTGGCTTTAAGTCTGGATCCTCAGATCTCAGCCTCTTGAGTAGCTAGGCTTATAGCCACCAGCCACGGGCGCCTGGGGTGGGTTCCGAGGCTTTTTTAACATCATAGATGAACTGGGTATGGCTTGGCAATTTGCTCCCCTCTTCTTTTAAACTGTTTAAAGTCTGCCTTCCTTCTTGAGTTCTAAAAAGTGAAACAGTTGTAAGTAGCAGCTGGACAAAAGATCATAAACAAGTTACTCCTGTGTCAGCAACACCTGCAACAAATTATAGCACATTCCTCGCCCCCCAGGCCCTCCGTCCCAGCCCCTCCCCCAGGCTGACCCGGATTCTGACTTCTCTAACACTGTGGATGGGTCTGGCCTACTTTTGAACGTCATATACAGCAAACATACGGTGTTCTGGGCATTCTTCTGTCTGGCTCCTCCCTCATGCGAGGGAGCCCTACGTATGAGCGTGGCTGGCCCTGTCTCTGTGGGGGAACATTCTGTGGGGGCCGTGTCACACCTTCCCTGTCCCTTTCTCTTCAGTGGACATTTGGGTAGTGTCCAGTCTGGGCTCCTGTGCACAGGGCTGCTGGGAACATTCTAGTAGATGACCTTCAGTGAGCACATGGACGCTCACCGGGGCTGTGAGCAGGAGGGGAGGAGCCTGACGGTGGCCTGTGAGGGTTTCCAGTGTCCGTGTCCGTGTGTGTGTCCGTGTCCGTGTGTGTGTCCGTGTCCGTGTGTGTGTGTGCGTGCGCACGCGCACACACACACGTGCGCGTGCCAGGGCACTGTCCCTTAGCCCCAGGAGGCTCCGTTGTTCAGAGTAGCAAAGGGAAGCACAGAGAGGGCTAGTGACTGTGTGAGGTCACCCAGCCGGGGCTTGTGCTGGTGGGCCGGTGGGTCTGGGAAGCTGGCAGGGCTGAGCTTCGGCTCTGCCTTGGCCGAGGTGGTGGTGGGCTGGGAGGGCCTGGTGAGCAGTGGCGGAGCCGCCGTGGGCTCCGGGTGCGGATGAGCGGCCGGGCTGCTTGGGGGGGGGGGGGTAAGGGAGACGCCCATTGTGGGTCTGCCCTGGTTCCTGGGAGTGCGCACATCAGACCCTCCGGCGGGGGTCTGGAAGTGGGGAGCTTGGAGGGTGAGCCCGTGCCTGGGGCTCCCCGGCCCACTCCCTCTGCTCTGGACCCCTCCCCCCCAAGTCTCTGCCTTCACCCCAGAGCGGCCCACCTGGAGCAGGACCCGGCCGCCCGTCCTGCTGCCCGCCCCGCGGGTGCACATTCAATTCTTGTCTCCACCCAGCAGCGCCCAGGCAGCTGAGGTGGGCGCCGCCAGGGCCCAGCACGGCTCCCGGGACAGCTGGGCCCCCCCCCCAGACCCCACCGGCCACCCTTTGTCAGGAAACAAGGGCCTCCTTCTCCCCAGCCCTCCCTGAGGTGGCTGGCACGGCCAGGCTCCCTTCCCCCTTCCCTTCCCCACCAGAATGACTGAAGTCAGATGGGGGGGGCTGCCTGGCCGCCAGGGTTCGTGGCTGGCTGCAGCTGGTCAGCCATGGGTCTGTAGGCCAGTGTGCGCCGTGGGCTGTGGGGGTCCTGAGACAGGGCCTGGCCTCTGTGGGGGCTGCGGGGGGCTGGGGAGCTGCAGCTGCACCGCTGCTGGGTGGGGGAGGGGCGCGGGCATCTGGGCTGGGGGCTGGGGGGAGGACCATTTCCTTTTTTGTTGTTGATCTTCAGAGGCTCAGCCTCCCTGCCTCCTGGGAAGGTCGCGTGGATGGTGGGAGGAGTCAGGATGGGGTCCTGTGGCTGGACCTCCACTCTTGATGCACGACCTATACCGCCGGGCACTTGTTCCCTCCCAGTCCTGTGTGGAGCCCCTGGTGACCCCTAGCGCGGGGCTGAGGACCCACGGCCTGGGCCACCTCTGCGCGTGCCCTGTGCGCCACGCGCCCTTTCCCCAGCCTCCTCGCGTAGAGCCTTTCCAGGTGCGGAAACCAAGCTCCGAGCGACGTTCGCCCAAGCTCACACAGCAAAGCCCAGGGACAGCACGGTAGCATGCCAGCCCAAGTCCCGGTGCCCACCGTCCACGCGTCCTCATCCCCCCCACTCCCACCCAGCCCGCCGGCCTCGCTCCGTGAAGATTGTGCTGCTCCTACCAAACCCCTGCGGTCCCGACTACAATTTCCATGGAATTGGCACAACACTCCCCGCTCCCCCCCACCCCCAGCCTGAGCCTCAGCTGCGGGGCACTGCGTGGCTCGCGGGCAGCTCAGCCAGCGAGGGGGAGGGACTGGCCCAGGGCCACCCTGGGAGCTGGGACCGAGGGCCCTGTGGCAGGACTTCCAGTGACTCACCCTCTTCCCCTCGGGTCTAGGCTTCTGGGCCTGGGTCACACCTGTCCATCCATCCCTCTGAGGATCAGTGACGCTGGGCTTGGTGGAAAGCTCTCTGGAGCTCTGGGACTACTCAGTACCGGGTTCATGAATACTGTTTCTTAGGTTGCCTTAGCTCTTACCAGGTCCTAGTGGCTAGGGGCCAGAAGGTAAACAACCAGCGAAAGCCTGCCCCAGGGAAGTTTGCATTCCTAGTAGGAAAGACCCAGACAATGAATGGAAGGAATAACAAAGGAAAAACTCCTGGAACATTAGAGGGCAGTTAGTGAAGTAGGGAAATGGAAGAGGGGAAGGGCTGTGGTGGCTGGAGGTAGGGAGCTGGCAGTTTTGTTGGTTTTAATAGAGTGACCAGGGAACCTGGCTCTAAGGTGGCATTTAAGCCCTGGAGGCAAAGGGGTGAGCCTTGATGGTATCCGAGAAACAGCATTCCAGGAGGTGGGAGCAGCTAGTGCAAAGGCCCTGGGGTGGGAGCACGTCCCAAGTGCTTGAGGATTTCAGAGGCTGGAGGTGTGGCCTGAATACCCAACAAAGAGGGAGGGGAGGCTGGGGAGGAGAGCTGGGGAGGCTGGCGACTGTCTGAGGAGGCGGTAGCAGGCCTCAGCAGGCCTTTTGGGCTATGGTAAGGGCCTTGGGTTTTACTCTGGAGGTAATAGGAGCCATGGAGAGTTCTAGACAGAGAACAGGTCAGGAACTGAGCTGGGTGTTTATAGATCCTTGTAACCACTGACTTGTAGTGTGTGTGTGTGTGTGTGTGTGTGTGTGTTGGCTGGAGGAGGGAGTCTGAGGTCTGGAGGCTGGAGAAGGATGGTGTACTGAGGCTGGGCTGGGGAAGGACAGCAGAAGTGACCACTGAAGGATGTAGCAGGGGTAATGATGCAGGTGTGACAGACAGACGGACAGATGGACTCCAAGGCCAGGCTGGCTCCAGGTTTGGCCGGTGGTCAGCTGCGTTGGCGAATGAAGAACCAAATCTTTTGTTCTGGTCCAGGAGGCAGGAATTTGGACTCATGGCCCGGCTCGGTCCCCAGCTGGCTCAGTGGCCTTGGGCTGGGCCTCGTCCGGGTCAGGGAAGCCTTACGGTGTGTGCTGGCCCCTCCCGTGCACCCGGGACCTCACGGACCTGTGTCTCCCGGTCCCCAGGGAGCCTGCGCCCGCAGCCGCCATGGCGTCGCGCATCGGGCTGCGCATGCAGCTCATGCGGGAGCAGGCGCAGCAGGAGGAGCAGCGGGAACGCATGCAGCAGCAGGCCGCCATGCATTACATGCAGCAGCAGCAGCAGCAGCAGCTGGGAGGGCCACCCACCCCGGCCATCAACACCCCCATCCACTTCCAGTCGCCACCACCGGTGCCAGGAGAGGTGCTGAAGGTAGGCTCCCCCCCTTCTCACCCCCACCCCGTCCCGGCCTGCCTGCTGCTGCCAGCCGTCCACCTCTCTCCTCCCAGGTGCAGTCCTACCTGGAGAACCCCACCTCCTACCACCTGCAGCAGTCCCAGCACCAGAAGGTGCGGGAGTACCTGTCCGACACCTATGGGAACAAGTTCGCCGCCCACATCAGCCCCGCACAGGGATCCCCGAAGCCCCCACCCGCCGCCTCCCCTGGAGTGCGGGCAGGACACGTGCTGTCCACCTCCGCGGGCAACAGCGCCCCCAACAGTCCCATGGCCATGCTGCACATCAGCTCCAACCCCGAGAAGGAGGTAAGCAGCACTCCCTCGCCTCCGGTGCCCTGCAGCAAGCCGGTGGCAGGGGCTCTGCCCAGAGAAGATGGGGTGTGTCCTCAGGGAGCCCCGTAGTGAGGAGACACCCTGGCCTGTGTCCGCTCAGCTCGGGGAGGAAAGACCTGCACAGGCCAGCCGGGCTGGCTGCAGCCATGGGTGGAAGGTGTGTCTGGTCAGGGAGGCTGGGGGGGAGGATCTGGTCAGGCTGCCTGCTGAGCTGGGGAGCTGGGGAGCTCCTGGGCAGCGGAGCTTGGCTTGGCAGAGCTTGGCTTGGCGGGAGACCCTTCCAGGCCAGTGGCCCTGGCACATGGACTCTTGTCTTTTGCAGTTCGATGACGTTATTGACAACATCATGCGGCTGGACAACGTGCTGGGCTACATCAACCCCGAGATGCAGATGCCCAATACGGTACTCCAGCCGGGCTCGGGCACGGCGGGCACCCAGGGAACCGCGGTGGCTGAGCTTGCCCAGAGCTCACCTGGGAACTGGCATCTTGGCAGGGACAAGGGTCACCTCCCTCAACTGCCGGCCCGGGGGCAATCAGAATTATGAATGAAGGCTGGTGGCTCACACCTGTGATCTTAGCACTCAACAGGCTAAGATCAAAGGATCACAGTTCAAAGCCAGCTTCCAATTAACCACCAAACAAAACCGGGAAGTGGCGCTGTGGCTCAAGTGGTAGAGTTCTATCCTTGGACAGAGAGACGCTTAGGGACAGTGCCCAGCCCTGAGATAAAGCTCCAGGATTGTGCACACATGTGCAAGCGCATGCACACACAAATTATGAATTAAGGTGTTTTCCACCCGGGTTGTCTCATGGGGCTCCAGAAGAGACGGGAGAGGCAAGAAAGGGGAGGGGTGGCCGGGCTGTTTCCAGAGTCTCTAGGGGAGGGGACGGGGTGCCCCGCCTTTCGCCAAGGCTTCTGTGAGTGCACAGGAAGCCCCTCTGGGGGTGCGTCAGTCCCCTGCTCTGCCAAGCCTTGTCCCCAGCCCTAGGACTCCTCCCTGTAACAGTGTCCTGTAGGTGGCCACTGGACTCCCAGGCAGGGATGGCGGGCGGGAAGGACCGGGCTTGGGGAATTGGTTTCAGCCATGACCTTGAAAAGTCCGGCAGCCACGGAGCCCTTTTGCTCAGGTGTGAGACGTGCCGCCATCTGCCTACAGGCTTGTGGGCACCTGATAAGAGGCGGGACAGTGAGGGCCAGCGCGGGCAGGGACCGCAGGGTTGGCTCTGAGCAAGTAGGGCTCCTTTTGCTTTTCCCAGTTCCTGGGGTTTGAATTCAGGGCTTTGCACTTTTCCAGGCAGGACTCTTCACACTTGTGCCTGCTTCCAACCCTTTTTTTTTTTTTTTGGGTCCTGTCGTGGGGCCTGAACTCTGGGCCTGGGCGCTGTCCCTCAGCTCTTCAGCTCAAGGCTAGTGCCCTACCACTTAAGCCACAGTGCCACTTCCGGCTTTTTTTCTTTTTGCTTATGTGGTGCTGGGGAATCGAACCCAGGGCCTCATGCATGCAAGGCAAGCGCTCTACCACTGAGCCACCTTCCCAGCCCGCTTCTAGCCCTTTTTGCCTATATGATTTTTGAGAAAGGTCTCACATTTTTGTCCCAGCTAGCCCAGACCGCGATCCTCCTGTTAATGCTTTCTGCTGTCGCTGGAATGACAGGTTAGACGAGCCTTCGCTCCTGGCTCTCCTCCCCACGACTCCCCCCAGGCCCTTTGACGTCGCTGTCCCTGCTTCATGAACAGAGTGGCATACTACTTCCAGCCCAGCCTCCCACCATGCCTCCCCAGGAAAGTTCTCAGTTTCCGCCTTGGGAGTCACAGCCAGTCCTCAGCCTCCACTGCCCTGGTGACATTGCCCAGCAGCTCTCGGTGGGAGCCGGTACAGACTAAGTGACTTAGTAGAAGCTGGCCTGGACCAGTTGGGTCCAAACCTGCAGCTAGCAGCGTGGAGCCGAGAGGGGAGGGGCGGAGGCTGTCCCATTGTTCTGGTCTCTCATCTCCAGTGCATTGGGCGTGTACAGGCCTATGGCTTGCTGGGAGAGAGAGAGAGAGAGAGAGAGAGAGAGAGAGAGAGAGAGAGAGAGAGAGAGAGAGAGAGCTAGCCACACACACACACACACACACACACACACACACACACACACACACACACACACACACACACACACACACACGAGACAGAGACAGCGCTTGTGGGCCCGATCAGGTATCCCCTGAGAACTTCTCAGCCCAGCCTCACCTCTCCTCTCCCTCAGTGGCATTCCATGCCCCACAGGGAACCATCCAGAAAACCCTGAGCAGATTAAGCCCCTCCCTGGGGCTTTGCTAAACCCAGATCTCACCATTGGAAGACCCAGCTCCTAAGGGCAGGGCTGTGTCAGCTCTGCTCTGAGTCGCAGAGTCACGGCTGGTTCAGCCCAGGAACCCCTGCCCCCGGGAAGATGGGCCCCGGAAGGAGCTCCCCGCAGGAAGGGGAGCCCCACTCAGGGAGCCACTCCCCGCCATGCCCTCCACAGCTACCCCTGTCCAGCAGCCACCTGAACGTGTACAGCAGCGACCCCCAGGCCACGGCCTCACTGGTGGGTGTCACCAGCAGCTCCTGCCCCGCAGACCTGACCCAGAAGCGAGAGCTCACAGGTACTGCTGCCCTTCCCTGCTCCAGGGCCCTGGCCTCGCCTTCCCTCCCTCCCTCCCTGCACCTCACCTTCTTTCTTGACCCCCAGATGCTGAGAGCCGAGCCCTGGCCAAGGAACGACAGAAGAAAGACAATCACAACCTAAGTGAGTGCTGCCATCAGGGACACCACACACACACACACACACACACACACACACACACACACACACACACACACACACACACACACACACACACACACACACACACACACACACACACACACACACACACACACACACACACACACACACACACACCGACCCCCCCCCCCCCCACTGTTCTAGAAGCCTCTCCAGGCCTGGCCCCTCTTGTCAACCCCAGCAATGACCCCATGGCGGAGAATGGCGACTCCATTCTCTGCCCTCCGGTTCTTTCTAGGAGGGGTGGGAGGAGCTACCGGGGGTGGTCCTGAAATTCCCCGGTGATGGGATTGATTGGGATCTTCTGGGCGTGGGGCCTGGGTGTGGGGGAGGGTCGTTGCCCCCGGCAGTTCTGGTTCCAGTTCTGTCCTGCGGCCTGCTGGAGGCTGCCCCTTCCTCACCCCCCACCTCCCAGAAGCACCAGATCTAAGCTGCAGCCTACCCCCCCCCCCCCACAAGCCCTGTGGGCCGGGCTTCTCCAGGGCGGGTTCCCACGCTTCTAACCGCACCCTCTGGAACCCCTTTTTGCCTGCAGTTGAGAGGAGGCGGAGGTTCAACATCAATGACCGCATCAAGGAGTTGGGGATGCTGATCCCCAAGGCCAATGACCTGTGAGCAGAGGGAGGGAGTGGTGGGGGTAGGGGGTGGGGGAAGCAGCCGGAGGGAGTATCTGCCCCCAGCCCCATTGGGTGGCCAGAGACAGGGGACTAAAGTCGCTTCTTGGAGCGACGTGTTGGTTGTTACATGTTGCTGAATCTGGAGAGCTCGGGCAGGACCTGCAAGCTTGCAAGGGCAGCAGGGCAAGGCTGCAGTCCAGGGAGGCTTCCTGGAGGAGGCACTGCCGGGAGGGAGGGCTTGGCCAGGTGTCGGGATGGTGGGCTCTGCTGGCAAAGCAGCACTGCGGTGGGCAGTGGGCGGGAGGCTCTGACCATGGTTATGACGGCAGGGACGTGCGCTGGAACAAAGGCACCATCCTGAAGGCCTCGGTGGATTACATCCGGAGGATGCAGAAGGACCTGCAGAAGTCCCGGGAACTCGAGAGCCACTCTCGGCGCCTGGAGATGACCAACAAGCAGCTCTGGCTCCGCATCCAGGTCTGGCCCTGAACCTGCACTTCCCCGGGGAGCGGTGACCCCAAGCCTGGGCAGGGGGATCGGGGGGAGGAGATGCCCCCGGTCAGGGTGTTAGGATCCGCCACCAGCAGCCTCTGCTTCCTTTAAGTGACACGTGCCAGCTGCAGATTCTGAGCCTCATTCTGCAGCCCAAGCTCGTGGCTGGGCACATGCAGAGCTGGCCCTGGCAGGCTGGCATGGCTCCCTGGGTCACGTGCCACTTCTACAAGCCAGTGCCAAGTTCCTGTTGCCCCTGACCTCAGGGAGGTGGGGAAAATGCAAACCTGCTAGTGATGCGCAGGATGGGATGGGATGGGTGGGAAGGGGGGGGAGGCCCAGCCTGCTAGGCCGAGCCTCAGGCTCTGCATCTGCGAGTTTTGATAGGACTCCTCTCTCCCTCTCCCTGTCATCCTAGCTACTCAGGAGGCTGAGATCTGAGGGTCATGGTTCAAAGCCAGCCTTGGGCAGGAAAAGCTGTGAAACTCTAGTCTCCAATAAGCTACCAGAAAGCTGGAAGTGGCGCTGTGGCTCGAGCGGACTGTAGCTTTCCAGCTTCTGTGTCTTTTTTTTTTTTTGGTCAGTCATGGGGCTTGAACTCTGGGCCTGGGTGCTGTTGCTGGGCTCAGCTCAAGGCTAGTGCTCTATCACTTTGAGCCACAGCACCACTTTTGGTTTTCTGGTGGTTCATTGGAGATAAGAGTCTCATGGACGGGCTGGGAAGGTGGCTCAGTGGTAGAGCACTTGCCTTGTATACATGAGGCCCTGGGTTCGATTCCTCAGCACCACATAAGCAAAAAAGAAAAAAGCTGGAAGTGGCACTGTGGCTCTAGTGGTAGAGCGCTAGCCTTGAGCTGAAGAGCTGAGGGACAGCGCCCAGGCCCAGAGTTCAGGCCCCACGACCGGACCAAAAAAATTAAAATAAAAAAATAAAGAGTCTCATGGACTTTTCTGCTCTGTCTGGCTTTGAACCACGATCCTCAGATCTCAGCCTCCTGAGTAGCTAGGATGGCAGATGAGAGCCACGGGCGCCCGGCCTCAGCTTCTGTTTCTCCAACATGAACAATCAAAGTCTCATGAAGGGAACCTGATGCTTATTCGTCGCTCTGGCTTCTGGTCATTTCTGTGCCTATCTAGTCTAGACAAGTCTGCTCCCAGTGAGAGCCCAGAGAGGGCGCTGGTGCTTTGCATTGCACGGATGAGTCAAGACTTGCAGCGTGGGGAGGCGCTGGTCTAGACACGCTGTCCTCTCTGCCTGCTTCAGCTGACACTTCTGTGGTGTGGGCTCACAGGGGCGGGGGGGGGGGGGCGGCTGGGGAAGGAGGCCACGGGGGGGCTGGTACCATGGTGTCCTAGTGCTCCGCCCCCTCCCCTGCAGGAGCTGGAGATGCAGGCCCGAGTGCACGGCCTCCCCACCACCTCCCCTTCCGGCATGAACATGGCGGAGCTGGCCCAGCAGGTGGTGAAGCAGGAGCTGCCTGGCGAAGAGGGCCCGGGGGAGGCGCTGATGCTGGGGGCCGAGGTCCCCGAGCCTGAGCCGCTGCAGGCCCTGCCTCCCCAGGCCCCGCTGCCCCCACCCGCCCAGCCCCCGTCGCCATTTCATCCCCTGGACTTCAGCCACAGCCTGGGCTTTGGGGGCGGGGGTGATGGCCCCGCGGCCTACCCCGACCCCCTGGGGCCAGAGCACAGCTCCCCATTCCCCAGCCTGTCCAAGAAGGATCTGGACCTCATGCTCCTGGACGACTCGCTGCTCCCGCTGGCCTCCGACCCCCTCTTCTCCACCATGTCGCCCGAGGCCTCCAAAGCCAGCAGCCGCCGGAGCAGCTTCAGCATGGAGGAGGGCGAGGTGCTGTGACTCAGCGCCCGCCCCCCCGCGGCCTGCTCCATGTGTGAAGTAGCCGGCCCTCCGCCCTCGCCCCCCTGCGGGCCTCACGGGACTGGGGGCCTCCTCGGCAGCACCCGGGGCTCAGCACCCCCTCGGGTCACCCTGTCCTCGGGGCTGGCTGGGAACTGGCTCTCAGCCGACTTCTGGAGGTGACAATGACAGGGAAGTGGGGGGCTGGGGCAGGCTAGGACTTAGCTCCTGGCGGGAGAGTCCATCTTCTGAGCCTGAGCCCCTTCCCCCACGAAGCCCGGGAGGAGCAAGGGGTTCCGGACGAGCCCTCCCTGACGCAGCTGCTAGTCTGCAGGTGCCCAGGCTTGCCTTCTAGGGGTGACAACAAGCCTGTCCCCCTGCCTGGTACTCCCCCGCCCCTCCCCCTTTGGTGCTAACAGCTCTCCCCTGGGTGGTGTGAGGGGTTCGGGTTCGGGGTTGAGCGCGGGACCGCTGCGGAAGAGCAGCTCCCTCCAGCCCCCACGTTGTGCCTTTAGTAAACACTGTGCTTTGTACCTGCTTGTCCTGTCTCTCTGCAGTGGGCTGGCACCAGCGCACTCGCCCCGTGAGCCTCTTCCCGGGCTCAGACTCCAAATGTTCCTTGAAGCAGATTGGGAAGGGGTGCAGAGAGAAACCCCAGATCTTCAGCTCTGTCCGTGCGTGTGCTGCCTCCTTAAGGCCACAAGATGGCGCTGTAGCCACACTGGTGTGCGCCTGCCGCTGGGCCTAGGAGAGGGGGGAGGATTTGGGGCGGGAGTGGCTCTCCTTGGGCACTATGGTCAGATTGCCCCTGCCCTGTTCTAGTGACTTCTTTCTCGAGACACCCTAGTGGGGTGCGGTGGCCAGCCTCCTCTCCCACTGGGGGCCTGGGGCAGGGCAGGCTTCCTGGAATGCTGGGCTGTGTTTGGGGTGGGGGGAGGCCCCACGTTAGCATGGAGGAGGCTGGAGCACAGGGCGCCGTGCGGTCCCCTCCCAGCACTCTGCGTGGCCTGGCCGTGGGAGCCGAGCAGGTCCTCTGCTCCAAGGTTCTGGGAGGTTGGGATTCTTCCCAGGCTGGGGACATGGGCTGGGGCTGCAGGGGCGCCCAGCGGAGGCTGAGCCCCAGAAACTAGCCGGAAGAGGAGATCTCTCAGCTTTGCCCAGGTCCCTCCTGACTTTCTAGAGACCAAAATGGCTTCCCTGTCTACAGGACCTTGAGAGGCTAAAGAGGCCTAATTAAAGAAAAAAAAAATCTCAGGATGGAAATGGTTGAGGGCAAGGGCCTGTGCAGAGGAGGAAGGTGGAATCCACGCTGGAGGAAGCAGCGGGCGCAGTGGTGGGCTGGCCCGGCGGGCGGAGGCTGTGGGATTCAGGCCAAGGTCACATGGCGTCCTAGATGACCTTGTCCAGCCTGAGCCAGCCAGGGCCCCAGGCTCCTTGAGACGCCAGGTCCCAGCCCACTGCCCGGGAAGCCGGTCCCCCAAGGGCAACCCCCCCCCCCCCCCCGGGTCGAGCCCTGGCAGGTTGGAGGGATTCCTGCAGATCCTGGACTGGGCAGTGGAGAAGGGTGGTGTCCGGAATCTGCGCCCATCCTTGTGGCTGTTGAGGGCTTCTTGCTACCCTACTTGGCTTCCCCTTCACCCTGGCGACTTGCTCAGTGGAGGGGAGGGTTGCCCCGCCTCTTCAGGGGGGCTCTTCGGGGCCAACGCGCTGTCCTCCCTTCCCCAAACTGCCTGCTGGTCCCTTCCAGGTCCCTGGGTGCCCTCAGCCTGGGGCGCAGGTTCTGGATGACACATGGCAGCACCCAGGTGTGAGGGGAGTTCTGTCCACAGGAGGGCGCCCGAGGTCAGGCCCAGGCTGCCACCTGCCCAGGCGGGTGGCGAGCATTGCAGGCTGCCTGCCACAGTGGCTGCCACCCTGCCTGGGGGAACCTCCAGCACTTCAACAGGCCACTGGACAGTGTGTTATCTGGGACTGGCTTGTGGCAGGAGCAGACCCAGGTCTCCAGCATCGCCCTGGTTAGGGCTGGCTCTCATTAAGTAACAATTCATCTTCCATCTCTCCTGGGCATGTGGCGGACAGTACTTTCCCAAGTGTGAGGTCCACGGAAGAATTATTAAGGAGTGAGTGGGCTGTGAAGCAGGGAGGGCCTGTCCAGGCTCCTCATGGGGGAGAGGGGGCGCGGCTGAGTTCCCGGGGACAAAAATGGGATGGGGTCTTGGAAAGGGCTGTAGCTGCGCCAAGGCAGGAGCCCAGGTGCTGGAGGGCAGGGCTCGAGAGAGAACGCACTGGCCTCAAAGGCTTCAGCCCCAATTGCTGTGTCTGTGCAGCTGGTCTCTCCCCTAGTTCCTACAGAACTCCAGACCAGGCAGCTCTGCATTTCCAAGTTCATCTCCCCCACCATCTTGGAGGGGTAGCCAGATTCCAGAATGTTCTGTTTGGCACACATAGCCATTACACACATGCACGTATGCGCATGTGCTAGACTTGGGCCTGGGCACTGTTCCTGAGCTCTTTTGCTCAAGGCTAGTACTCTACCACTTGAGCCATGCTTCCACTTCTGCCATTTTAGCAGTGAATTGAAGATGAGTCTCACAGACTTTCCTGCTTGGGCTAGCTGCAATCTGTGAGCCTCAGATTTCAGCCTCCTGAGTAGATTACAGGCGTGAGCCTCTGGTGCTGGGCTTCATTGCTTCCTCCTCTTTTAAGTAGATTCTTCCTTTACTGTTTAAGAAGAGAGTCTGAGACACAGCCGTGTGTGTTCCCAGCACACACACACACACACACACACACACACACACACACACACACACAGCCTCAAGTTCAACGCTCTTTCAACCTGCCCTGCCTCCCCCCCTCCCCCAGCCAGTGAGAAGAGCAGCTAGAGAAGACCCTTGGATTCCCCTCCTGCCCCACCCCCAGGACCCCTGGCCCCCAGAACCCCAGCTTCCATCCCCTCCCCGTCTCCTCCAGCTCATCTTTTTTCTTCGCTCTCTTTTTCTGAGGGGGGCAGTGGAATTTATACAATATTTAAGCAGCCCGAGCCGGGTCCGGGAAGATATTATTAATGTAAAAGGGACAGGCTGCAAATGCTTTCGGACCTGGTTACAATTAGAGGGTGATTTTTCTAAAGGTCAATGAATTCAGATAATATCCACAGGGGGGAGAGAAGTTTAATACCTTTTTAGTGAATTAATTAATTATAATATTATATCGGCTTGGGGTTCTTTTGCAGAGTGATTAAGGGAGCGATCTGTCTTCTGTGTGCCTGCCACTACGCAGGTGCAGACGCTGCCGCCGGGCTGGGGTGCAGGCCTTTCCTCTCCCCTCTCCCCTCTCCCGGCCGCCATGGTGGGGGGCCGCTGTGTGGTGATTGCTCTGGCCTGAGCCCCCAGGCCAGGCCGTCCACCCGCTGCCCACTGCCCACTGCCGTGTCACCAAGCCTCACACTGCAGTGGCCCAAAGAACCAAGATGTGGGCTGTGGCCTCCTTTACGAGTGGGGAAACTGAGCCCCTTGGGCTCCTGCAGGGATTGCTGGAGCTAGCTGGAAAGATCTAGAAGAGAAGGGCTCCACCCACCTCCTAAAGCAGGCCTGTGACAAAGACCCTTCACTGGCCAGAGGACGGCGGTGCCGGGGTCCCCCCCCATCCTGCTTGGAGAACAGCTAGCTCAGGGTGTGCGCTGCCTAATTCACCCCAGGATACTGAAGACACCCCGGGACATGGGCTAGTGGGCCCAGTTGCGCCCCCTGGAGCGACCCACGTGTGGAGCCAGGAGAGGCGCTTTCCTCCGCGGCTGCCACTGGCGTGTCCCCAAGCAGAGGCAGGCCGCCATAGCCCTCTCCAGCACCCCCCAGTACCCCCCACCTCTGAGCAATGCCAGAGGGGCGGCCCCACCCCATTCCTTTGTTCCTGGACAGGAATCCTCTCTCCACTGGAGCAGCACCAGGAGCAAGTCCCAGGGGCGAGGTTGTAAGGCCGAAACTGTGGCCAGGCACGGAGGCGGACAGACAGAGGTGACCTTGAGCTGAGGGGCCTGGACAGCAGGCAGGCGGAGGGGGGGGCCTGTAGGGGGGAGGAGGGAGAGCTCCAGGTCTGTGGGTGAGAGGCATGCCGGGAGTAGCGGTAGATGAGGCTCAGGCTTGCTAAGTAGGAAACTTTGGGGCAAGGCCACCCCCCGTGGAGCAACTATGGCAAACAGACAAGCTCTGATGCCCATCTTGGAAGTATACCTGTAACCCCAGCACTCAGGAGGCTGAGGTGGGAGGATTGGGGTTTGAGGTCAACCTAGGCTACATAGTGTGTCTCAAAAAAGAAAAAAAGTAAATAAAAGGAAACGAAAAAGTGGGCTGTGCCAGGACTCTGTGCCTCCGTTTCCCCATCTGCCCTAGAAATGGCAAAAACGCACCTCCTCAAGTGAAAGGAGTAATCTGAACACTTTCTAGAACATCCTCACCTCCGCACGACCCTCTCAAGAGGTGGTCAAGCCTTCTGTCTCCCCTTGCACCCCTAATTCTTTATCCTGGGGTCCTTTGGGGGAAGGCAATAGATAGTTTCCTCCTGTCTCTGCTCCTTCTGCCTTTCCCCACTGCCTGCCTCTGTCCCTCTCCTCCCTGGGTGCCCCTCCCCCACCGGCCGGGGAGGGCCTTCCCATTGTACTATCTTTGGGCCCTAAATTAAAATTGATGACATCTTGAAATGAGCAGTGAGGGTAATTTTGCTTCTGAGCCGGGATGCTAATGAGGCCCCTTAATGGTGCAAACGCTGAGCTGACGGGTCGTGTGTCACGCGCGGCGGCGAGGGGGGTAATGGCCACGGTAAGTGCCGGTAATTACACCCTGTCTCCATGTATTTTGGCAGGCCTGGTGGGAGAGCCGGGGCTCAATCACCGTCGGAGGGGAGCGCCCCCTCCATCCGCGGCAGGACTGACAGCCGGAGACAGCCCCCTCCCCCCTCCAGCCAGGCCCCTCCCCCTCCAGCCCCACCTAGAACGAGTCTGGGGCTTCGTTCTCTAGCCCCCCCCCAAACACGGTATGTAAGTATGTACCAGAGGCTCCTACGCCCAGTGAAGCCCCCATTTCTCACATCCACAGCCGGGGCGGCCCCTCCCCTGCAGCCTCTGAAACACACGGCTCTGCGTACTCGCCCCTTGGGGCCTGCACACCTCCCTGTGCACACGGCCGCAGCTTCCAATAGCGCCTGTGTGCCACTGCCAGCTCTTGTCTGCACACCTGTCTTTTAGTGGGGGGAGGAGGGGTCACAAATTCAGGCCCTGGGAGATGTCCCTGAGCTGTAAGGCTGGTGCTTTACTACTTTATCCACAGCTCCACTTCCAGCCTTTAGATGGTTAATTTGTTTACTTTTCTTTCTTTTTTCTTTTTCTTTTTGTCAGTCGTGGGGCCTGAACTCTGGGCCTGGGCGCTGACCCTCAGCTCTATCACTGGAGCCACAGGGCCATTCCGGCTTTTTCTGTTTCTGGGGTGCTGAGGAATCGAACCCAGGGCCTCATGCATGCAAGGCAAGCACTCTACCACTA